AATCTTAATCCCATATTCATCTTGAAGACGGTCATCCAACATAGCATCCGTTTGCCCAGCTCTTGTACCCACTTTTATCACTCTTACCCCTTCCTTTCTCGTTCTAACATCATTCCTCTCCTATCCTAAGTCATTCCTCCATATCTTCCTGTTTTTCGTTTTAATCCTTCTATTTCCCTACTTACTCCTCCCTCCCTACATCTTACACCCCCTCTCTCTCTCTCTCTCTCTCTCTCTCTCTCTCTCTCTCTCTCTCTCTCTCCTCTCTCTCTCTCTCTCTCTCGTGATTCGTCATCTCTCGTGATTCGCCGACAGAGACCAAAACATTGAGGTCATTTGACGTAGTCAAACTGCTATACAACCATTGTTGATGCAAACAAGAGAAATTCGAGCCACAACATCTGACTCATTCAGTGGAATCTACTGCTGGTGGTGGCAGTGGTGGTTGATGGTAGTGGAACTTACCTATCTACTCTATCTGTGACTGTGGAGAATTGAAATCTATGCAGCTCTGCAGAGTAGAGCTGTAGAGCTGGTGGCTAGTGAACCTGTGTTCACTAGCCACCTGCTAACTTAACACCTGTGTTCACTAACCACCTGCTAACTGAACACCTGTGTTCACTAATCACCTGCTAACTGAACACCTGTGTTCACTAATCACCTGCTAACACTCACATTCTCGAACGAATCTGTCATCAGGTATGAAGAACATGGATGACAGTAACAATAATAACAGCAATAACTAATAGCAATAACAGGTGAACACGGTCAAGCACGATCCCTGCAGCCCTGGACACTATGTATATCGTCCGATATCGTCTGTGTGTGTGTGTGACGATATCAGACGATAAATCACATTAAAATCGTTTCACTCTCTTAAGGATTAATGTCCATTTCTCTCTCTCTCTCTCTCTCTCTCTCTCTCTCTCTCTCTCTTCTCTCTCCTCTCTCTCTCTCTCTCTCTCTCTCTCTCTCTCTCTCTCTCTCTCTCTCTCTCTCTCTCTCTCTCTCTCTCTCTCTATCTCTCTCTCTCTCTCTCTCTCTCTCTCTCTCTCTCTCTCTCTCTCTCTCTCTCTCTCTCTCTCTCTCTCTCTCTCTCTCTCTCTCTCTCTCTCTCTCTCTCTCTCTGTCTCTCTGTCTCTCTGTCTCTCTGTCTCTCTCTCTCTCTCTCTCTCTCTCTCTCTCTCTCTCTCTCTCTCTCTCTCTCTCTCTCTCTCTCTCTCTCTCTCTCTCTCTCTCTCTCTCTCTCAGGATAATTCTGATTGAGTTTCTTTGGCTTAGTTTCAATCACTCAAACTGTAGTTGTTGGTTAGAGACGCACAGAAGCCCCCTGAATGTCCTGTATTTCATCATGGTTGCTGGTGGTGCGATAGCCTGAAGCGATAGTTTTTAGAGCGATAAATATGCCGAGCATAATCATACGTATTGGGGTTATAATGGCATGATGAAGCAGCATACTTGTTTTCAAATTCATGCCTTTTTATTGAGCTCCGCCTTAGCCCCTTGCGAGAGGAGTCATAATTCACAGTTTCAAACATGAATACCACATTGCTGCAGGGTTGTAAAATGCACGATATATAAGGACCGAAAAGGGCGAAGATCGCCTTCAAAGGGTTCCCCCCCTGGCGGTGGAGCAGCAAACTACCGTGATATGCTAGGCTTGTGGAGTATACTCACTCAAATCTACTTTCAGTTGGGGTCGACGGGAGACACCTGCTGTCTTTACAGCCGCCGCCAGGGACGGGGTGTGTGTGTGTGTGTGTGTGTGTGTGTGTGTGTGTGTGTGTCTCTGTCTCTCTCTCTCTCTCTCTCTCTCTCTCTCTCTCTCTCTCTCTCTCTCTCTCTCTCTCTCTCTCTCTCTCTCTCTCTTTGGTGCGACCCCAAACCTGGCATTAATTTTCCCCATTGTGCTTAACCTAGTGACTGCTCAGGGCATCGTACCACTCCGAAGGTGAGGCTTGGGGGATTCGGGGGAGAGATACAGTGTTCCGAGGGGTCGTTCAGGCAAAGTGGTTCCTGCGTGGCGCTGGTTCCTCAGGTATCATTAATATCCTGAGACGACCGTTGAGGCAGCCAGCACGCGTTAATGAGAGTGACAGTGATGGTGAGCACTGCGTGCATTCCTCACCATTTACCGTCACAACGTGTTACAACGTCACTATTTGACCGCTGTAAGCCATCATGGTAAGCGAGGGGGGAGTGACTTAGAGCTACCGGGGGAGCCGGTCGGCCGAGCGGACAGCACGCTGGATTTGTGATCCTGTGGTCCTGGGTTCGATCCCAGGCGCCGGCGAGAAACAATGGGCAGAGTTTCTTTCACCCTATGCCCCTGTTACCTAGCAGTAAAATAGGTACCTGGGTGTTAGTCAGCTGCCACGAGCTGCTTCCTGGGGGTGGAGGCCTGGTCGAGGACCGGGCCGCGGGGACACTAAAGCCCCGAAATCATCTCAAGATAACCTCAAGATACCACCAATGTTATCTTCGTAGTTTGTGTTCCTCTTTTATCATTATAGATTTGTGTTGGTGATAATTGATAATTGTCTTGCTGGAAGGCAAGTGATGGTGTGTGGTGTTAGTGAGGTGGTGAGAGGTGGCTGGCGCCTCGCCAGTGTTGCTTTAAGACAGTCTCAAGTTACGGTTAAGCAAGCCATCAACCCTTGCCATGATTGACCTTACTTCACA